GACCTTTGAACCTGGGCTCTGATAACACTTTGTCACAATGCAAAACGGATGTGATGCCACTTGTCTATTCCCACCAAGACAAGTCAACCTCAACCAAGAAAAATAAATAAAATGCCAAAAAAAATAGTAATAGTAAGCAAGACAAAGGCAGAAAACTTATTCATTCTAACCAACACGCAAAACCTGGTTTTCATGTACAAGCCACTAATAAAAATAAAGAATCCAAAGAAAAATACAAGTCACGGTCCTAGTTTCTCAAGTAGAACAAAGGTTAAAAGAAAAAGGAAAAGAGGGTCCACAAGGTTGACAAAAAACTACCTCTCATATCTTTTAACCAACATCGACTTTCGGGAGAGGAAGAAGAAAATCACACGGATTAAGGCTCGAATCCTACATAGGTGTAGGAGCATGGGGTGAGTGCCAACAATATGGTATCCACAAAGCAACCAACTAAACAAATCAACTAGCTAGAAATAGAATACCCCTTACACTCCAACCGAACCTCCTCAAACTACAACCTGCAATAAATCAACTCAACCTAGCAATTCTACAAAACATGACTCACAGGCCCAAAATTCATAGTTCAATCTACACAATTCAACAATCAACAAAAAGAATAAGTCAATCTCAAAGACATGTAGTTCAATTACACATAACAAGTATGTCAATCATAATCAACAAGTAATTAAGTCATACATAAACATCAAATGCATCAAGTCACAATAATCAATCTTTTGCTGGGACCATTTCCTATCAACGCAATATCATTAGTCGAAACCATTCCTATTGATTTTATCTCACATCACTAGTTGGAACCATTTACTTCAGCTTTATATCACATCACTAGCTGGAACCATTTTCCATCGTCCTTATATCACATTACTAGGCAAAACCATTTTCATCAGCTTTTTATTACATCACTAGTTAGAACCATTTTCCATCGGTGTTATATCACATCGTCATTGGTTGGAAATATTTCTCACCAACTTTATATCACATCAGTAGTTGTAACCATTTCCCATAAGTTTTATAGCATCATCTCATCTTTCATCACGTTGTTCACAGTCAATGCATACAAGCAATATCACACCACCTGGAAGAGACAACAATTCATACATTTGAAATCCACAATCATGCTTTCAAGCATTTCATCAATAAATAAATCAATAAGGGTCACAATGAGACAATGACACCATCATGTTCATTATATCGCCTTTTTTTCATTTCAACCCCTTTTAATTTGTTTAAATAAAACGATTGGAGAATTAAACCTTCACCTCATCCCCATTATTCCGAACACACAATCAACAAAGGATGCACAAGAATACAACTATAATACAAGATTTAGGAAGCCACTTGCCTTAAATCAATCAACAATCACTCTAATAATTGAGTTTTTCCCTATCGAATCACTTTCAAATAGCAACAAAATATATAAACAAGCAAGTATCAATCACTTTCCGAAAACAAAAAACACCCACAATAATTCCTTTGAAAGGTGGGTCAATCAACATGACACCCAATTCCAAAAATTAAGGTTTCAATCTGGAATTTAATACTTGAAAAAATTACTCTAGGCTTTAGGAATTCAACGGGGAAAATAATTTATAAATAGGACTTGAAATTAGTTCACAAACTCCATTTTAGTTAAGAATTTAGTTTCTTGAAAAACTTCATTATTCACCAATCAAAAACTCATATTTTAATGCTAAAACTAATATATTATCACTGAAAAATGAAGGTTTAGGATCAAGCACACTTACCTAACTGATCTAGCAAACAAAATCCTTCCAAAATTCGTCACCAAGGGTTTTCCAAGTTTAAAAATGGTGAAATAAGGCTTAATCCTCACAATTTGCAGCAAAAACCCTCTAAGGTATCTGTTAAGAAAACTAGGGGTTTGCTTAAGTGAACCCTGTAAAAAAACGAGAGTGTCTCTTAAGAGAAGCCTCCTTCGTAAAAGTGAAAGGCTCACCGCTTAAGCTAAGGTCACTTCAACGACAGACCTGTCGCTTAAGTGAAACCTGCAGACCCCACCAACTTCAGCCTATTTTCAAGACATCAATGGGATCTTCGGGATTCGTTTAAACCTCGTACACACAAACCATATATGTATTTCAATTATGCTCGATATTTTGGACTCAATGGAACTGTCAATATATAAATGTGGGGTCTCTTTAACCCGACATTTGTGAAAATCACAAGAAACTAACTCATGCCTAAAAAGGCTAAAACGATCTAAGAACCTCTTAAAAATTAACATAACAGAGACTTCAACTGGACCTAACATTATCCCTCGAATCTAATGAAACTCTCCTAATTCTGATCAGAGCATTCGAACACTGAATATTGATCAAAAGTCAATCCAAAGGCTAAAATTCTATAATTTCACAACTTAGAACCTCAAGTCCTCAAAAAGACTTGAAAACTTACACAGACAACTCTCACGGGTCATGTTTCACATTTCGAGATTGATGAAATTGATGGAACTCTTTCGGACACTTAAAACTCCAAAAGGCACAGAAAATAACTTTCTTAATAACTTAGTCTTTCAAACTCAAAAACATAACAAAGTCTTTATTTTTAACTCCAAGTTCAAGGATCAATGTTTTAAAATACAAACATAGGAGACTCGGGGTCAACCACAGGAGGGGCAAAATTGTAATTACTGTTAAAAACAAAAAATGACCGATCAGGTCATTACATTACTTATCAAAATAAATCATTGATTCAAATAAAAACTTGAAGGAAAATATTATTTATAAAGATTTATAAATTTAGAGAAGTTTTAGAAATTATAATAACTTCAATGATTACATAATTGCCCTCAAGTTGCAATCTTTTAGCTCAAGTTATATACATTTGTCCATATATAATAAAGTAGTAGTCTATTCCGAAGAAACTTAAATTTGGTAGTGTGCCAAATTGTTATAATATTTTCTTTTCTATTTTTTTTCAATGAATAACAATTTCTCTCAAGTTGTAATCTTTATTTTTGAAAATATTATTTTTTCTAATATTGACATATTACCTAACTTCAAATAATATATCAATATCATGATATATGGATGTAATCATGCTAAATATAAGTAGTCTTTCTATCAATTTTTACAGCATTTTTAAGTAGAATTTAATTTGTATTGTTAATTTTGACTTTTTCTTTGCAAATTATTTATGTTGAATTTGATTTCATGGGAGTAATTCCATTCTTTAAAAAAATTATTGTTAGTGTTTGGTATCTTCTACTATATTAGAATAAAATAATGGAATATTTTATAAGATTATTTTAGGTCATCTTCTATATCTTCTGTATATGATATTAATTTTACTATTATAATATAAATGCTAGAATAAATGGCCACGATTAGCTAATATTTTAAATTAAATTTGAAATAAAAATTAATCTAAAATTTTATGTTGAAAACAGTGTATCTATCCCACAACTAAATGATCACCCAAACACTATTTATTTTTAACTACATATTTTCTATATAAAAAAAGTAAAAATATTAAGGCATAAGCATAACAATTTAGTGTAGTACTTTACCCAAGTTATGAAATTCAAAATATTCACACGTAAATAAATACATATTCAAGAAAATACTAAGAGGAGCATAAAATCGATAAGCAAGTTGACCTAACGTTTTGGAGGAACATAAGGATGAAATGATTGTATTATATATAAGGGTGAACACATAAACGATCCCTTGAAACTTGTATGTCTTTTTTGTTAAGACACCTTAATGAAGTCATATTCCTATTGAACATCTTATGTATACCCAAAGTGTGTCTATCAGACACTTCCATGATATTGCCCAAAAATATGCAGAGTGCATGACTTTATAACACTATAACATGGAAAAAGAGTGAATCATACTGTGACATATGACAAATTAAATAAAGTATCTTTTACAAATTTTTTTTTATCAAATCCAGCAGTCCCTCCGCATCATCTTCTTGGAAGCCCCTCCTCACTGCCAACTTAAATTCCACCATTAATAATTTTATGAACTCTCTATTTGTTCTTTTTGTGTTTATTATATAAATATTTCGTAATTTATCCTCCCCTTTCCACCCAAACAATATTCTCTAACTTGCATAGCTCAATTCTTTCTTGCCTGGTAAAGCTACCGACTTTTTTCAGAACAACATCTTCTCTTCTTCTTCCTCTCTTTTTTATCATTAACTTATATGATTAAAACTTATCAAGAAATCAAATAGGTATAACTCCGTATTTAGTTATTTTTAGTAATTTTGTTTATGAATTTTGTTTAATTATTTTTTTTTAATTCAACCATCAGGATTGATGTTTTTTTAATAATACAATTTTAGTTTTAACTTAAGCAAGTGAAGGAAAATGACATTTTCAAGAGGGAAATGAGAGGTGATTATGACTATGTTGGGGAAATGGAGGAGAAGGGTTAAGAGGGGAAAATAGGGATAAAGAGAGATATTACAAACCTCTCACACGCTTTTAATGAGTGCACTATAATCAATACACCAAATTAACAATGTATGTCTAATAGACACACATTAAGTATACATTTGGTGTTTAATAGGAAGAAGGTCTTTCTAAGGTGTCTAACCGGAAAACGCGTGTAAGTTCAAGGGATTATTTATGTATTAGGCCTATATATAAAATGTAAAAAAATAACATCATATATACATTTAAGGGTATATTACGGGTTATAAACATACATTTAAAAATTAACACCTATAACATATTATTTACGTGTTGTAATATATCACATAAATTAATTTTATGAATTGAACTTATTTTAAATTCAATTATAATTTAATGGAAAATGTTTAATCAATTAAAAATTTTAATTTATTGATTATTTATGGATAAAGTTAAGTATTTTAATTGCAATTCCATTTTTAAAAACGGTTCCCTTTAAAAAATGATATCTTTTAATTTTTAATTTTATTTTTTAATTATTTATACTCACATGATATATCAGTTACTTCTTTTTAGGAATTTATATTGATTAACTTTTCTACTTTACCGTTACAACCAAGTCATCCTATACCCCCAATCACAGCCCCCACCTTCACCCTACAATTAGAGCATACACTCTACCTCACTCCACCCACACCACACACAATCACCCAGTACAATCTTCCCCAACATCCCTCTACCAAACATTCAAAAACTGTTCATCCCCTCTTCCTTATAACCTATGTCAAAGAAATTCACGCCTCGTAAAATTTTCAGAATTGTCAAATAAACTTTATCTGATTAATTTTCAAGTCCCATCGTTCAATATATTAAGTCAAATCCAACCGCGTAAAATTGTTAAAAGCCCGACGTGGCTACGGGTGGATCTGCTCAATCCAATTATCAAAAAGAGAAAAAATCTCAAGCAAACAAAAGAGGGACTCCGACAAATAAGAAGGAAAAAATTGTTGAAACCCCTTTCGACTCTGATTCTGACTTTTGTTAATATTACAAAAAAGAGAAAAATAAAAAAATCGACAAATGTCGATGTTTCTCAATCTTCTAAACCTTCAAGACCATCAACAAGGAACTCAACAAAAAACATGAAATCAGAGATACCATTGGTCAAGAAAGACAAAAAAAAGTTGTTAGTGTAAGTCATATATTTAATTTATAAACACATTAGTTAAGATTATTTAAAATCGAAATATGCATGTTGTTTGTCAGTTTATGTATTAAAATTGTATGAATTGTATGTTAAATTGGTGTGTTTTTGCCCTTTAATTATGTGTATATGATTAGTAGTGTTTGAATGTTGATAGTCAGTTTATGTATTAAAATTGTATGAATTGTGTATTAACATTGGTGTTTTTGTTCTTTCATTATGTGTATATGATTGGTAGTGTACGAATGTTGATAGTCAATTTATATATTAAAATTGTATGAATTGTGTATTAACGTTGGTGTATTTTTCATTTAATTACGTGTATATGATTGGTAGTGTATGAATGTTGATATTCCATTTATGTATTAAAATTTTGTGAATTGTGTATTAATATTAGTGTATTTGTCCTGTAATTATGTGTATATGATAACTTATCATACAAATGACATGAGTTGTTTAACTAATATGTTTGTATAAATTTTGAATATTATTGGTATCAATTGTATATCGATATTAGTGACTTTGTATCTTACTTATTTGTATACAATGAATATTAAATTGGTATCCAAACTGTATAAATTATATAACTACATTATTGTGTATAAATTTTGTATAAATTTTTAATAGTGTTGGTATGAATTATGTATAAAGATTTTGTTGTTCATTTGGTACATTAATTAATTGAGTTTGTTTGATGAATTATTTGTTTGGGTATGCAAAATGTATGAAACATGAATAATAAGTGTATGAGTGTTGAATTTTTATAGAGGAAAGAAGGTATCAACACATTGGTCTTCATGTACAGACGTGAATATTTTTGGTGGTCTATTGAATTTCCTCAACCAAGAGAGGTTTCAACAATTTATCGAACAAACCGCTTTTGGTATTTTGTATGAATTTAATAACATTAAGATTCAATATCAACTCTTGCGACATCTGTTTTTCCTGGAATCTAAAAACTTTTTTCGAAAGTTTAAAAAGGATAATTTTTTTGGATAATGATCTCTTGAAAATTGGCATTTTGTATTTCATTGCCTTATTTTTTACTAGTTTGGAACCATCTAAAACAACCATTCTCAAGTTATATCTTGATTTGCTTTAATCTTGACATTATATCAACTTTCTATGGGCAATGAATGTTTTAAACTAACTCTTAAAGCTTGCAGTCATAAGTTGATGAAAATTCCTACGTCATTCAAATTCAGTCAGTTCCATATAGCTATACAGTTCTGGTTTTATGAGTGTTGTCACCCCTTAGACAACACAGTTGTTGTTCATGCTTCAAATTGACACCACGTATTTTGAACTAGAAAACAATGAATGGCATTATTTTTTTCAATGAGTTGAAGAACACGATTTTTAGAATACATAGCGCAATCAACTCATATTTTAGTTATTGTTATTTCAATAAATATAAATCATTTACCATTCTATTATATATTATAATTCTCACATTTTTTTTAATTGCAGCATAAATTCAGAAACATTGTGTTTACCAACGAAGAGTTAAATGGCATGGATCAATATATTCTAAATAAATTTTCAAGTAACCATGATACAAAAGATTAAGAAACATCAGAAAAACATAGTGTTCACGTCGACAAAAAGTATTTAGAGTTGAAGACAGAGATTGCGGAGGTATATAATAAAAAATTATGATTTAATACCTTTTTTTTAAAATTTTACAAATTACTTATCCAATATGTTAATGTTCAGTGAAAGGTCAGGGTGAAGTTGAAACAATTGAAAGATAATGTTATTCTTCAATTCCTTTTACATTAATTATCAATAATTTCTTTCTAAAATTTTTTAATGTTTTAACATTTATTTTTACATCTATTGATAAGGTTGACAAACACATGGTTGAAATGAAAACATATGCCGATTACTTGACAAAGCTTAAAATATAGATTAGGTCGTCAAGAGGTCAACCAACATCAATTATACACCAACAGGTATTATGAAATACTAGTGGGTTTTACAAAGCAAAAGCCAAAAAAAATTGTTGTTTCAATGTGTGATTTGGTGTGTATGACCAAATAATATAAATGTTTTTTTGCATTTTATTTATTTGATATAAGCATTGAAATTGTATGAATATTGAATGACTTAGAATGTATTAATAATGTATGCAACTATTTGGTTTCACTTTTATGTTGGTTCAATTTTATTATTACTTCCGCGAAAATACCAATCAATATTATATGACATTAAAGGGTTTACAAGTTAAAAATAAAAATAGTTAGTTTATCATTGTGTTATTTATGTATAAGCACTGTATGACTAAATTCTTTACATGTTTGTTCTAGTTTGTTTGTTTGAAATATGAATTAAAATTGTACAAATATTAAATTATTCAACATGTACTAGTAATGTATGAAATAGTTGGTTCAACTATTATGTTGGTACAATTTATGATTTGCATAAAATTCGTATGATATATTTTTATTACCAATTTGTAATTGAATTTTATATTATATAATGAATTAGGATGATGATCAACAAAATTTTGAAGAATGTGATAAATATTCAATGGATCAGCCTTCTGTCTAAATGGGTGAATACGTTCGTATTTCAAATACAGATGGTATGAGTTATCTTATTTTGATATGTAATTTAATTTACAAAGTTTTTCTTTTAACATTTTGATATTTTGAAGTATAGATGAAGATCAGAAGTAAATTGACAAAAATATTGATGCTGCTCTCAATGCTGAAATTTCTGCATCATCAAATTCAAAACCACCAGCATCGGAGGATTATCCTGACTTAACTATGACACAAATTTTTAAACTTGATCCAATTCTTAATTCTAATATAACTTCAGATGTGCAAGTAAGAAATAGGACGCCCGACAAGTATGACACATCTCCGTGCATTCGATGGTCGGAAGATGAAAGCAGTTCAAAAAGAGTTTTTATTTTCTTTGGAATCAGACATTCGTTTAAAAGTCACAATAGGTTTGAGGTTGCAGCTGAGTTGATTGATGAGTTTAACAAATAGGTTTTCAAAGGTGTTTCTTCTTGGCGTGGCAGGTATATGTACATACAGAGCAAATTTTTTTCAATTGGTATACAATTGTTTAAAATATATTTTCAATGTTCACAAGAAATCTGCTTATTCAAAGAAAAAAAATACTATTGAACCTTTATGGACTTTGGTGTTGTCAAAAATGGTGAAAATGATTTTTTCAACATAATTGTTAAATCAGACATGTCATGGAAAACATGTATTTTGAGACTTTTGTATTTATAACTACAGTTTTCAATGTATGCATATTGAACTAATATTGTATAACAGTGGTCTAAATTTTATGTGTTGTGGTATATGTATGACAATTGAATGCATATAATACAGAATATTTAAACATGTTTAATGCCTTTTTTTGGTAACATGTTAATACCACTATGTATTATCTGCGAAAAAAGTCAAAGTACCCTTTAACAACAATAGCATATTGTACAGGACTGTTTATTTATGGCATGGGATAATAACATTGAGAAACAATGGAGACAGGTGAACTGCGACATGTGATGCATTCCTCCCGATCACGATGTTGGACAGTGCATTAGAGGTTTCAGACTGCTTGCTAACATTCTTTGGGACAGAGTTGACAAAGTCATTATTCCTATTATTATTAGTGATAAGTTTTATCGACTGTAGGTTGTATGCCGAATAAAGCTTAGATGTCTACATGTATATGATTCGAGGAGGGAAGGATCTGTTTGCACCATCAAAGTCAATGAAATTGTGGATGAACTTGCAACAATGATACCACTATTTTTGCAAAGCATAGGATTTTATGGCAAAAAGTTTAATTTGTATTCTAATAAACTACCTACCTATGAAAAAAAGTCTCAAACCGACCTCCTTACTATCGATCATATGATGCATGTTCCTAAACAAGGAAATAGTTTCAAGTTTGTATTTTATATACTATACTAATTTCCTTGTAAATGCTTACTTTATTTAGTTATTAAATTTTTTTCATTTCAAACTTTTTAAAATGAATGTGGTATGTACACATCTTTGTTTGGTGAATACATCACCAATGGTGTTTTTGATATGTCTTCTGTTGATATTGATGCAACATACCATCGCCAAAGGTATGCTACAATCCTATGACATTATGGAAAAACAAAGATTGAAGAGAGTGCGATAAGTGATAGTGAAGTTACTAGTAGGGTTACTAGTAAATACGATGGACCTCGCATAGCTAAAGAACATGTTTCGAATACCGCCAATTATCCTACACTAACACCTACAAGAAACTTAAATAGTTACTTGTACCTCCTATTTTTTTGAACTACATGTTACTTTTTGCTTTAACTTTTGAACAATTTGTTTGGATTTAAGTATTTCATGATTTATAATATCATAATTTTTTTTCCAGTTATGTAACTTGGACTTAATATTCCAATATATCAGTCTTTATTCACTTGTTGGTTATTTTTAATTTCAGTAATATGTTAATATATAAATTTCATACCATATAGATTTAACATTTTAAAATATCAAGTGGGTTTCAATCCACCCCTACTGGATCGAATGTGTATGAAATCTGATCAATACACATTTTGATTTGTTGAACTTTTATGAATATAGTATTAAACTTTAGTATGAGTTTCGATCAAATGTGTAAAATTGAACGAATTACAAAATAGGTATAAGACCACAAACAAGAAACTTGAAATAGTTATTCGTTTCTTGTACTCTATAAAATTACATGATTTTTTGCTCTAACTTTTGAACAAATTATTTAATTTTAAGTATTTAATGATTTATAATATCATATGTTTTTTCCAATTATACCTTCTTCATATGAACTAAACATTGATTTATATATATTTTATGGATATTAGTAATATTTATAAATCATACCATTAATAGATTAAATATGTATCCAATATGATTAGCATATATCAATGGATTTTCAATGTAACCTTATTGGATAAAATAAGTATGAAGTCTGATTACTACTTGTATTAACATGAAATCATAATTGTAATTTGTTGACTTTTTGGTATGAATAGTGTTTTAAACTTTATTATTCATGTGGACTAACTTTCATACAAATATCATCTATACAATTTCTATTTTTTTAGAAATACATATATGAAATTGCATTTATAGTGAATCCATATGATATGAACTATGTGTGAACCATGTATGAAATCTGTTTACGATATGTATAAATATGATTCATATGAAATGATGTTAGTATTGAATAAATATTAAATAAGCTTTGATATAAAGTGTGTTGTAATGTTATTGTAGTTGGACAACATTTATAACCAAAATCAATCATATTAATCATGATACCAAATAATGAATCAATAATATTGGTATAAATGTGTTTGATATTAAATGAAGTTAGCATTGGAATAAAACATGAATAAGATTGATAAAAAGTGTGTTTCATTGTTATTTATGGTTAGACAATATTGACAAATCAAATTAATCAAAGTACCAATGATACCAAATGCACTTCATAAAAGAAAACATGTGTTCAACAACCAAAACAACATCAAAATTGTTAAATATAAAGTAGAAACAAGCAATCATTTTTTCTGCACAGGATAATTTGAACATGTCTTCCTGTTGTGTCTAACTTGACGACATCTACTGCAAGTAACTTTTGAACTTTTGTACGGGTGTCAAAAATGAACACAAACATATGTAACCCGCCTAGAATTTTAAGGGTTGGACTCAATATATTTTGAATTGGGTTCAATCTTAACTCATTCAAGCTTAACCCATTGAAGAGAATTCTCAATTAAGCCCAATTTAATCTTCGATTTCAACGTGTTTCAAAACTTTGTATTAAGATATGTTCTTATATTGAAGGTATGAATTATTATCTATTTAACATCTTTTTGTATTTATCTATCCATTTATAACTTTTTTAACAGAAAATTCTGGAGCGAAATTCAAACTGTGATTATAAATTTAATTATCAATATCTAAAGTTATTGAAATTAATCGGGTCAAATTGGACGGGTCAAGACTCAACCCGTTTTTTACCCAATTTGATCCCAAAGTAAATGTAACATCTAGTGATCTAGAACAAACTTAGGTTAAGATAAGAAAACAAGAAGAATCAAATTTGGAAATAAGTAAAGAAATCTGGAAAGTTTTTAATTTTAAAAGTGAATGTTAGTCATCTACAATCGGCCATAACTTCCAGCTCGAGAAGCGTTTGGATGAGTTCTTTATATGCATGGAAAGCTCATTGTAATATCTTTATAACGACGCTAGATTTGTGAATTTATGAGGTCGTATGAGGGATCTATGACCTTCCAAAGTTGGGATATTGAGCAGGGAAAGTTCCAAATCCATATTTGTGAAGGGTGTTTTGGTATTTTCCTAATTCAATCACTAATTTCATTTTTGGGGTAATATTTTGGGGTCTAAACTGATACCATTCCGTTTCCACACTTATAAAATAAGTTAGGGCTTTGAAAGAAAAGAGAAAAGAGGAGAAGGGAGAAGGAGACGCAAGAACGCCAAGAATTCACTGTGTGGATTTCGTCAGGGGTGATCCCTTATAGGCATGTGAGATCATTCGGTGTTGGGTCATTTCACCCACCCTCCAACTTGATTCATTATAGAAATTAGAGTTAATTGAAAGTAAATCTTGAAGTTCTTGATGAAAAGTTTGAAGTTCTTGTTGGTTGATTTGTAGATGATCTCTAGTAGTTTTGATTCAATTTTCCAGGTTGTTTTCGGGTCTAAACTATTGGTTAATGAGTTATTTAGGGATACTAAGTGTTTGGGGTTGGATCCATGAGAGTTTGGGAAGCTTTGGAGATGAAAAACAAAGAAAAAAGTCAGAAAAACCCATCTGATAGGCACTAAGATGCCACGCTCTAAAGCGCCTAAGGACAGAGTTTGTCCATCAGGATCTAGCACACTGCGCTTTCCAGAGTTATTGAGCACAACCTCTGTCTATCAAGCTCTGGCGCTCTGCTCCTCTCAGAGCACCCGGACCCCCTGGAGGTTCTGTTCTTTCCCCATCTTTCCATACTATTTTCTAAGTGATGTACCATTCATTCCTAGTTTATTTTAGCACTCTATAGTACATATAAATATTGTTAAATCATCCATAAACATGATATTATGATCCTTGAATCCATAATTCAATCCAAGGGAATCTAAGATCAAATTCAAAGAAGTTAAGAGTCAAAGTCTAAGAGTTAAGAAGCAAGTCAAACTAAGTTCATAAAGTTTTAAAAGAGTCTTAAAAAAATCATTTTTGAATTTGTTTTAGGACTCAAGTTTAAAGTTAAGTAAAGAGCAAGAGTTGAGTTCATTTCTCAAAAGCTATAAGGGAACTAAGTATTCCCTAAGAGTCACGTTTCAAGTTAAGTAAAGACAAAGAGTTGAGTTCATTTCTCAAAATCTATAAGAGAACTAACTATTACTTAAAGTCTTACAAATGTTTCACATTTGAATAAAAAAGGGAACTAGAAGTTCCAAAAGAGTTTTGAACAAAAAGGGAACATTGATTCCAAGAGGAGCTTCATAAAGGTAAAGGATTCTGCAAATTATCTCAACCCAAAGAAAATAAAGTTTCAATTAAAGAATGAGATAAAATACATTTTGGGAGTAGTATTGAGCACCGATGTGGGATGAGAGTTCATATTAACTCAAGTCTCCATGTAAATCATGTAGCCACCATGGGAATTGACGGGTTATTGATACGTTCAAACTTACTTCTCATATAAGAAGTAAAGCGGTCGTGTCAAGTAAATAACCCAACTAGTGAGGTTTGGATCGTTCCCACGAGGAAAATAATTTAGACTTAAATTTAACCTATTATTACTAATGTTTAGTCAATTACTTCCTTGGAAAGTAAAAACAATAAAAGAGGGGTTTCTATTTCTAAATGAGTGAAAATAACTACCTAAATTGAAAGAGACACTTAACAGCTTTGAATGTTGGATTTTAATCAATTCATCAAAGTAACTAGGGTTAACGTGTTCGCCACATGTTCATAACTTGATAATTCTAACTATAACAATTCTTTCCTAGTATCTTGCATGCAAAGTGATAAGTTATGTATTTCTAAATCCTTGGTCCGACATCTAGAAAATCTCACTCCGCACCTTGGTCCGGCTACGTGTGTTGCTATCCTAACCCTTATCTTTACCTCATATTAAGCATCGTATTCGATATTTGACTAATTTATTACCTCGTACCAATCAATTTTAACTATAACGATTCTTTCCTAGTATCTTGCATGCAAAGTGATAAGTTATGTGTTTCTAAATCCTTGGTCCGGCATCTAGAAAATCTCACTCCGAACCTTGGTCCAGCTACGTGTGTTGCTATCCTAACCCTTATCTTTACCTCATAATAAGCATTGTATTCGATATTTGACTAAGTTATTACCTCGTACCAATCAATACTAGCCTATTAGATAGTATACACTATATCTATGTTGATAATTCTTTTCCTATTATCTAACTCCTTGGTCCGGTAAGTAGCATTAAGGCGAGTTCTAACGTTGACCATCTGTTAAAAAGACTTCTAAGCGAAAGAATTATTAATACATGCAAGACACTATTCTAGAATTGTTATTTTAGTTAGGTTTTATGTCATTTTTTGCCTATGGTTCCCACAACCCTGGTTATGGAGTTTTAGTTACTCATAGTCATAATCACAATATTCAAATATATTAAATAAGAATTCCTGTACTTACTTCAATGAGAAAGAGTAAAATCCGAAAGTTTGCTTGATTAATCACAAAAAATCACCAACAATCACTTGAAAGAATCTCACAAAAAGTCTAATGATAATCAAAAGTCTAACTAATACACAGAGTCTGACCCCAAAAACGAGGTTTTTTGAACTATTTATAGAA